CGCTTGGCTGTGATTGGTCGACGCTTGTCCAGCTGGGTTCTGCGCCCCCCTCCCGCCCCACAATGTGGCATTCTGGACTTCTTTTTGTGCACGTCTCTTTAATTCTGTCTTTTTTCGGTTTTCCAGTTGAGCTCGACTGGGAAACAAAAATCAAAGTGTGAAAAATGTACTTGTGCTATAAAACACTGAGTCCTGGTGTCTGCACGCGTCCAGCTGTCTGACTGCTGAAAAGCAGCAATCTTCCAGCAGAGCTCGGGTATTTGTTGAGGTAGCATTGCTGGTTATGTGTTTAGAGGGTGTTTAGTTAGTTCCGGGTTTAAACTCGGAGCCCCTTTCTCGGCTGAGGGGCCGCGTTCTGGTGCCGGGACTCTGCACCACGTTGGAGTTTGTCAGTTCCAGACGGTTGAGTCGCAGCTCAGCTCCGTAAAGTTTTAACAACAAACCAGAAGTTTCCAGGTCTGACGTTCCAAGGTTCTACTCTTAAAGGAAATCTTTTTTTTTTTTTATCCATTTTTGATTTTTGATACTTTTTTGTTTTGTTTTCTATTTTGCCAATTTATTAGGTACTTTCTATCACTGCTGATCAAAGCTCATCAATGTGCCGCCGTCAAACTGAACGGCTTCTAGGTGGATTTCTACAGTGAGGCGATGGTGACCCCTGGTGAAAAGGGTTGCAACCTGATGCACCGATGAACTCACGGCTGACGTTTTCTGTATTCAACTCCGGCAGGAACTTTGCCAGATAAACATCCGTTCACCGGTTTGGAGACGAAGGATAAATCCACAATTTGTTGATGCTTTGATGTTTCTGAACTACACTACGGAAAACAAAATATATAGAAGCAGATTTTCCTTCAAATAACTGCATTTTCATTTGATTTGTGCAAGTAAGACAATTTGCCCTCAAAATAATAATGTTTTACATTTAAAATAACAAAAAAAACATCAACTCTTAACTTTTTTTTCTTTTTTTTTTAAAGGTGCATAATATCCAGTTATCTTAAGGGTAAGAATACTTGTTCAATTGACAAATCCTTTCATTTAAAGGCTCAAATTAAGAGCATCTGTGTTTAAAAAAAACCCAAAAAAAAACAAAGAATATAAGTTGTTCCTAAAACATAAATTGGAACTATGGCTCTGAAACTGAGCTACGAGAACTACTGCTGGTCCTCTGAATAGGGAGCGGTTTGAATTATCTCTTTATTATTTGCAAAATAAACATGAGACTACAAAATAATGAAAAAACTAAGATACATTTCCTTTAAATAAGTCTAATTGCCCTTAATTTGAGTTTAAAGATCAGATCAAATCAGTAAGAGGATTTCTGTCCTGAAATTAAGAAAATCAGATCATATGCACCTGAAATACAGTTGATGTTTCAACGCATTTCAAATCTAAATATTATTATTTTATTGGCTGACTGTCTTACCAAGGAAAAAAAACAGTCTTAAATTTCCGTTTTTAACAAACAGACTGATGTGAATGCTGCTGGTTGGTTATGCTTCATTCGTTGGGTCTGATGCAGAAAGTTCATCAGATCAGATGCTTTAAAATAAGGTTTTAAGGAGCAGAAACTGCAGAACGGATCAGCAGTGATATAAAGCACCTGAGAATGGAAAAGGGGCTAAACATGCACCATGAACTAAAAGGAGGAATCAAACATTATAGCGAAGAGTTTAACACAGAAAAATGTTCTACATGTTGAGTGTTAGAGCGTGGAGTCAACATCTGAGCTACGTTCAAAGGTGGCGTCACTAAAACTCTCCATTCCCACCTGGATTCAGCCCAGAAAGCGTCCAGAACCGGGCTGCTCCAGGGGCTGAGAGGGAATCAGGACAGTCCTGCTCACTACGGTCTGACCCACAGCATAGAGGCTGCAGGTGGAACGGTCCGATCGGGTCCGATCCGAACAGGCTTTCTCTACTGGATGTTAACATAAAGAGTTAAATAACCTCTCCTGGGTTTTGGACCTGCTTACGGACCGACCTGTTGGTGTTTTATCATATTTAGTGGCAGTTTTAATAATAAATGTTTAGTCATATAGAAGCTTGATTACTTTTCAGATTTTTCAAACAGAAAAATTCAGCTTTCATTTGATTTTTTTTTTTTATAATTTTTTTTTTTTTTGGGTGAACTAATTAGGGGGGGAAAAAAATCGTCTTTTATAGAAGTGAGCAAAACAAATGAAATGGAGACCAGCGCAAGAGAGGGCGAGGGACGCCGACGCTCCTGCCCGCTCCGAACGGTAAATATCATTTAGAAACTTCAGGAAATTCATTATTTTCTTCACTAAAACACAAAGGAGAGGAGAGAGGGAGGAAATGAGCTGGTTTCCTCCCGTCTCTTTCCTTTCGCAGTGACGGGCGGGTGTTTTTAGTCGTTCTGTTAGTTTGTTGTCCATTAGTGCAACACTACGTCCCTAGATGTTATGTCCAAATAAAGCTTGCTGTTTTGTCTAAACTAAAAAAAAACAAAAAAAGAAAACAACATTGAATCTAACCAATCCCCTGCAGGCTGAGCAATAAATCCTATAAACTGCGTCTCGGCGGCTGTGAACGGAGCTCTATGGTTGGGAAAGACGTGGAAACGACAGCAGCCATGCTGGGCTGTGGGCTTTGGGCCTCTGGGGAAAAATGGAAGCGAAGGCATGAGCGAACGGGTTTCCTCCTCGTCTTTTGGGGCGGAGGTCGCTGCTGCGAGGACTTTAGTTTGGCGGCGCCCTGCAATGGCCAACGTTTTCTTTCTCTTCAACGCTTTTCCTATTCTTCTATTTTTTTTATTTATTCCTTTTTACTTTTTTTTCTCCAAAAATACAAAAGAATCCTGATTTTTTTTTTTTTTTACGGTCTGACAGCAGCTTTCCTGCTGTTTTGCTCCCATTTTCCAGAATGTTTCTCCATCTTTGATGAGTCTGCTCGCAGATGGAGGGGCCTTAAGGTTCTGCCTTTTTTTAAACCAACCACATTCCCTGACCACAAAAAAAACAAACAAAAAAACAACACAAACTTGCAAATGCCTGCTTTTTACAAACACGCCCATTCAGCCAACAGGGAGCATCATGGTCAGTGCACAGGTAATAAATATTCACATTTGGAGACATCAGAGCTGCCTGCAGTGTGACCAGCTGCTGCGCCCTCTAAAACGCCGACAGTTAGGCTCTGGATGGACAACTGCTCAAAGGATGAAGCTCTGGAACGGCTGAGGGAGAAAACAGCTCCTGTTTGGCGCTTCCTGATGATGTCACAACAATAAGGCACCAGAGGCGGGTCCTTCAGGGTTCAGGCAGGCACACTGACTGATAGCAGAGGCAGGCGGAGGAGACCGCCATTCCTAAGAGTCAACTAGAAGCTCAGAGTGCTGTGTTTGGTCATCCTTGAGCCTGTTAGGACCCGCCTCTAAAGGTAACACTGCTCCCCATTGGCCAGTTCTCCACTTCAGGCAGTGGCTGATCCAATCACGCTTCAGGGAGACGGATGGCGCGTTTTTTTCCCCACCAGCGTTTTATCTCTGTGCTTAGAACAAAACCGCCTCCATGTCGTCCCGAATTCATTCATCCATCCCCCCCACCCCACCCTAAAAATTAACAATACTAAAAAAAAAAAAAAAATCTTAAAAAAATAAAACATATTAAGGACTATTAGCTCTTTTTTTTCTATTTATATAAAACACCAGCAAGCGAAAAAAAAAAAAAAAAAGTTAGGAATACTGAGGTAATTTTACCCTGAGGTAGTTTTTTCTTTATCGTTTCTTCTCTGATCTGTTCTAATCTTGGTAAAGCATCCACGCTCCTGCCACTCATTATCATACACAGGCAGGATCTGGAGGCTCCGCCCACAGGCCTTTGGCAGGAACTGGGAGAGGAGACCAGGAAGCTGCTTCCAATCAAGTCAGGCTTTAACTACTGAGGTGAAGGTGGGAGTTTTGGGATGTTCCATTGATTTGGGGCCTAGTCCCCGTCAGTAGCTGTGGAAACGGCTCTGGTACCAGAGGGGTCTCCGTTTCAGACGGGGGAGCTCGGCTGCCCGCCGCTGGAAGAACGCAAAGATCAGAGGGTCTCAGACGCGCCTCGTCTGTCTGTCTCTGCAGCAAAACGTCCCACCTGCCACTCAGACGTACGTCCAGATGGGGGCCGGACTAACTCACATATCATATATATATAATATATATAAAATATGTCATTGAAGGTGCGGGTCGCTGGCCAGCGAGCACGGCTGCTGCGCCTGTAAACATGCTTCCTTATATCAGCGTGTAGCTGAGCCGCTGCATTAGAACTGCAGGACCAGCTGCGACGGCCGCCTCCTTACTGTCTCTTGCTGTGTCCTTCCACAAGCGAAGCACGGAGGAGGGTGCCAGGTGCCCCCCTCACCCCTCGTTTAACTGTAGGCTACGTTATGCTACACGGGGGGAAAGGGAAATTGAAAGACAACCCCTCCTTTTTTAGTAAAAAATGTGGTCGGACGCAGCATTTACTAACAATAACATGAAGATGATATATTTACAACCTCATATTTTTCTTCAGAGAGTTGTTTAAAGAGCAGTGTTAGCATCTACGGCCCCCCCTCCTTTAGAGAACCAGGCTTAGAGATGCCTGTGGCTCCTCAGCAGCTTCGCTCCCAGCTCTCCCAGCTCCGCCTCACTGCATTCTTATCAATAATAGCTCTGAATAAAACATTTCTATACATATATCTCTATGTTAAAAAACGCCCTTAAAATATAAGACTGACTGCAGATGATTGGAGGTGTGCAGAGGAGGACCGAAGCATGGCCGACCTGCTCAGCGCAGCGGAGACTTTCAGGCAGGTTCCAGGATCCGGTCCACCGGACACTGAAACCTGCCCGAAGCGTGGCGTCCCGCCGCGGCACGCCAGAACCATGCCGCCTCTCCATCCCTCCTTTTCACCACATCATCCACATTCAGCCTCTCCTCTGGCCTGGCACTGGGTCTTTGTTTTCAAGTTTCTTTCAATCTAAATCCTCTTTATATCAATTTCATCTTTTGATTTTTTCCTAATTTTTCCGGCTTTCTCAGTGGCTGTCAGGCGTAGCGCCACCCTTCTCAATATTTCTCCCTGTCTATTGCTGGGTCCGTGTTTTACTCTTCTGAATCCGTTCGTCCGTCCGTCCGTCTGCACACGTCAGTCAGGTGGGGTGGGAAGAGGCCCTCACTTCCTGCGTGGCTGGTGATCCTGATTCAGTCCCGGCGTAGGGCTGCCCATTTCGGTGAAACCCTGGGGGCTGGGGCCGGGGCCTATACCCATCCCACCTTTCTGAGACATTTTGACCTGCGTCAGGATATCACGAATCTTCCTCTGAGCCAGCTGAAGGAGACAAAGAACAGACAAAAAAAAGATTAAAATAAATTGAGGAATCCAGAAAGGTTCAAGGTTATTTTAGGTTATTATCCTTAATTTCGTTAAAATGGTGCTCAAGTGATTAGGGTGGTTAGGGCATTGCGCTTGGATCCCAGACACTCTGAGTTGATGCCCCACTCCCACAGACTGCCACTGTGGCTCCCTGAGCATGACCCTTAAAGGAATAGTACACCCAAAACATGATTAGCCTTCATTTTCTACTCACCCCCATGCTGAACAACACTCTGGAGTACTTTTTTGATATCTCAAATGCATCTGGAGATCTGGGAGGCTTCTTGCTGTCTGCTGACATTCAAATAATGGAGGTCTATGGCGCCCGAGGCAGAAAGGTCCATAAAAGTCCACAAAAAACGTGTCAATATTCCTCCATACTGCTCGTCCAATGTATTCCAAGTGTCCTGAGTGGGTAGCATCCAGAATTTACTCGAAACGAAGTCATTTAGAATGTTTTTAGAGCATAAACAGTAGTTTATAGGATTTCCTCAAAGCGCGTTCACGAGTCTACGGAAGCCGGCAGACCAAACCAGATGAAAGTGCGCATTCAGCGTCTGCTCTGCCAATAATGCAAGCGTAGAACAAGAAATGTGCTGTTTACCTGTGCAAAGAAAGAAACAACGAAAGAAAAATGTCTGAGGACTTCAGTGTTGAGAAAGAGCATGAGTTCTTTGCCGAGCTGAATGCGCACTTTCATCTGGTTTGGTCTGCCGCGGTTTCCGTAGACTCGTTAACGCGCTTTGAGGAAATCCTATACACTACTGTTTATGCTCTAAAAACATCCTAAATGACTTGGTTTCGAGTAAATTATGGACGCTACCCACTCAGGACACTTGGAATACATTGGACGAGCAGTATGGAGGAATATTGACACGTTTTTTGTGGACTTTTATGGACCTTTCTGTCTCGGGCGCCATAGACCTCCATTATTTGAATGTCAGCAGACAGCAAGAAGCCTCCCAGATCTCCAGATGCATTTGAGATATCAAAAAAGTACTCCAGAGTGTTGTTCAGCATGGGGTGAGTAGAAAATGAAGGCTAATCATGTTTTGGGTGTACTATTCCTTTAACCCCACACTGCTCCCCTGGCACCACCAGTAGCAGCCCACTGCTCCCCAAGGGGAGGGGTTAAATGCAGAGTTAATACAACTCCAGTCTGCCGTATCATCACATCATTACATCATACACCTTAGTAGATGAGGAGACATAATCTATGTCTGCTTCTGTCTCCTTGAACCCCAGTGGGCCTCAGCAGATGGCCCCTCACACTGAGCCTGGTTCTGCTGGAGGTTTCTTCCTGTTTCTTCCTGTTCAAAGGGAGTTTTGCTGTTTCCATCTCTCCACTGTCGCTACAAGCATGCTTAGTGTGAGTCGATGCGATCAGCTGGTTTTCCTTAGATGGAAACTTTGATTCAATCTGACTGGATGATCTGGTGAACTGGAAAGTGCCTTGAGACGACATATGTTGTGAATTTGGCGCTATAGAAATAAAGAAAATAGAAAAATTTTATCCATGGTTACAGCCTTATCAAAATATACTTCTTAGATCAACGACGCCGCTTTCATTCCATTCCCAAATCTTTGCCACGTGCAAAATGAAGATTATTTTTTATTCTGAACTGTCCTAATTAGATAAACTACTTGGGAAACACACAGGCAGGTAATATTAGGGTTTAACAGACTCCCATCATCAATAAGGAGAATTCTAACAGATGAGAAACGGATCTCATCTGCCTCTGCAAAGGTAACAAAATCACCTTCTCTCAACGCTCTAAAGCAGAGGTCACGGATTAGCTGATCACGGTCCGGATCCGGATCAACCTGCAGGCTAATCCGGAACCCACCTGATTTAGGACATTTATAAATCACTGCATGTTGTCCGACAACAGTTTCTGATTTCACTTGCGCTGCTTCTCCTGTTAATACGGTAAAGCCCTAGGGAGCGTCCGGCTCCAGGCTGCACGTGATCCAAATGAGCCAATGAGCTGTCAGTCTGGGTTGCTGCTGCTGCTACTTTTAGACACAGCAGGCAAACCTGTGGCAAGCCGGGCGATGGGAAAGAAGGAGAAGACCATGAGAAAAAGAGAGCAGAGAAAGTGTGGACTGCTGGAAGAACTGCGGTGAACTGGTGAAAGAAAAGTGAAATGGCGTGCTCAAAGATGACCCTGCACATTTAGAGGATGTTTGGCTCAACCTGCTGCTGTGAAGCAGGATTCTCCACCATGAACAGAATCAACAATAAATCTGGATCCAGACTCAAAATTTGCTCCTTGATATGTGCTTGAGAATGGCTTAGTCTCCGGTTAAACCCAGGTTTAAAGCCTTGCAGGGCAGCCTAAAGCCCACTGCCAACATTAAGACAGAAAAAAGGAAGAAAATAACAAACCATCAGTTCAGGGGTTTGAGAAAATATGGGAATCAGGAAATTATCTATAAACCAAACTGAAAGATTGTTGTTCTCTACTTCAAAAAAATCTTTAGATTTTAAAATGGAAAGATATTCTGTTTTTTAATATTTTTTTTATTTGAAAATTTAATGTATAACATGGATGCATAAAAAACGGCTTTTTTATTTCAGTGTTAAATTCTGTTTAAAGTAACAGATTATAATTAAAAATGTCTCTGGACCTTTACTGGTTGATTATTTTCTTTATTCTGACCCTGCTGATTTTTAATTGGTTACCGCTGCTCTAAAGCATGAGAACAGCAGAGAGGATCATGGGGGCTCCTCTTCCCTCCATTAAAGACATTTCATCCCAGAGCCGCGTGTCCAGAGCCCGTGACATCATCAATGACCCCTCACCCCCCCACCACGGACTGTTCTCCCTGCTGCCCTCTGGGAAGAGGCTTCACAGCATTCAATGCAGGACCAGCAGGTTCTGCAGCAGCTTCATCAAGTAAGATCAAGATCATTTGGAGTTTTTACATTAAAGACATAAATAAGTTTCATTTTCCTTCAACCTGTGGACTCCTTAGTAACAGCCAATACCAGCATGCCGCTTAGATACAGGGTTAGTCATTAGAGCGTGGAATAAAGGCAAACTAAAGCGTTATCAGCGTACCTGGCTGGCATAGAAATGTCCATTGATCTTGACGATGACCTGATCGTTTTCATCAGGTGTTTGCTCTCTGGGGACGACCACCTCAGCTGCTGTCAGGTTCTGCAGCTCATTCACCTGGAAATAAAATCATTGGTCAATTTAGGAGTGAGCCACTAGCTTAACACTAGAGCTCCCACTGGCCGTCAATTGGACGGATGACTTTTTTCCCCAATGGAACGCATGAGTAGTGATGATGTCATCAACTGAAATGGTTATAGTGTGCGATATAAACTCATTGTGGATATGTAAACCTTAAAACAGGTCTAATATATATTTTTTAAAGGCTGTATTGTTAGCTACTATTATCTGTGGACATAATTTGGATAAAATTAAAAATAAATAAATCTGTTCTATCACACAGGTTTGAAGTTTAAAATTACAATTTTATTTACAGAAATTCATTAGCCCCACGCATTTTCCCCTGACGACCTTTTCACATTTGTGAAAAACATCATATGATGCTTTTTTTTTGTGCAGCGCTGAAAAATGACGTGAAATGAAGGAAATATAGAAACAGGAAAAATCAATTAACATTAGCAACACAAGATTAATGTAAATAAAGTTATTTCCCTTTAAAATCTCAGAACCGTCAGAATGATGGCTGTGGGAGTTCTAGTGTTAACATATCTGAGTCATTGCCTGCCAAAAAAAGTGCCTTCTCCCTGATCCAAAATACTCAGGTTATCCTGAGCTATTTTCTGCATTAGTGCTGCTATAGCATTAGACTGCTGGAGGACATGGGAACGGACGCCGTTTCATCACATCAAGGGAGTTTTTCCTCTCCACTGTCGCTACAAGCATGCTTGGTGTGAGGGATTGCCTTAGAGTAATGAGTCGATGCAATCAGCTGGTTTTCCTTAGATAGAAAACTGAACCAATCGGACTGGATGATCTGGTTGAATTTTCTCTATAAAGGGTCTAAAAATTGGCGCAATAGAAATAAACTGAACCGAATTGCTGCTCACCGTCTTTCCTCCTTTGCCGATGACTCTCCCTGCAGCAGCAGCCGCCATTTTAATGTGAGTCTCCAGCTTGACTTCCTCTTTTGGTCCAAAAAAATTCTCCTCTTTCAGTTTTCCATAGATTCTGCCCTGAGCCTGTGGATCAGAGACGGAGAAAGCAAACGGTTATCGAGCGCAGTCTGCAGGTAAAACAGGGTTATTCTCAACCATCATCACCTTGAACTGAGCCTCTGGGGGTCCCGTCACAATCACCATCCTCATTTTGGAGTCTGGGGTTTCCGCCGGCGCGATCTGGAGAAGGAAACGGGAATACATTTCTGGTCTTTGGGGTTTATATTCTGGTTTGGACCTCATCTTGGTCTTTCACCAACCTTAATGGAGGCTCCAGCGAAGCGGCTCAGCTGTTTGATGTGCTGTCCCTTCTTGCCGATGATGGCCCCCACTGCTTGAGCTGGGATGTAGACATGGACCGTCTCCTGCTCCGGGGCCTGAGCGCACAGAAACATGGCTGCCTGACATTCATATCCACCGGGATCATCTGCCCTGTGTTTAGTCTCACTTTATTAACAATAAACTTCCTTGTTCTGTTTTTTTTTTTAACACTACAGCCCTTATGGAGAAGTGACGTGTTCCATCTCCTGTGAACCAGTTCTTTGAATCTGGATGTGTGGATAAGGATGGAGTCATTTGGGGCAAATTTGGACAGATCAGATCAGATGTAGGTTGAACCAAACTGACAGCATGTCAGTGGATTCTGGACCGTCCAGTGAGGCTTCTCTTACCCCAAAGGAGCCATAGGGGGCTCCTCCCACTGCATTTCCAGGTGGTGGGGGGGGCATGTTGGATGAAGGAGGGAAGAGGCCCAGAGCGCCCAGGTTCAGTCCAGGGATCAGATGAGTTTGTTGCTGTAGAGGAAAATGATTTTGTTGTTAGACGCAGCTTGAATGTGATAAAGCTCCTCATTAATGAGGCTAACGTCAGCCAGTCTGCGGCGGCCGGGGCCGACGTCGGCCCGTCTGCGGCGGCCGGGGCCGACGTCGGCCCGTCTGCGGCGGCCGGGGCCGACGTCGGCCCGTCTGCGGCGGCCGGGGCCGACGTCGGCCCGTCTGCGGCGGCCGGGGCCGACGTCGGCCCGTCTGCGGCGGCCGGGGCCGACGTCGGCCCGTCTGCAGCGGAGAGAACACGAGTCCGTACTTTTGTTCTTTTAAATTGCGGTTTATGTTCTAATAAAGGCTAATGTGCTTCATTTTCTTTTATCATAACAGTAGAACAAAATATACACAAATATAACAACAGAGTCTTGATTCATTTTTTCCACATCGAACATAAAAATAGAGTCAATGCTTTTTTTTATGTAGTTTTTTAATTTATTTATTTATTAGTCAGAATTAATAATCTCAAACATTATAATAATAAGCCCTATGTAGTTACTTTGCTCAGTATTTAGTTATTTTGATTTTTAACTGAGTTCTAACCCAGGTAGGAGAATTAACTAGTAACTATAACTAGTTCCCTTTCTAGGAAACATTTCCAACACTGCTTACACTGGAAAAACGATCTAGAAATAATAATAAAAAAAAAAAAATTAAATTAAGTGTTTTTACCATTAATCTGAGTAGGTAAATGAGAGGATTTGCCAGTGGAATGAGTATTTTTATTCTTAAAATAAGATAATTAAAAAGGCACTTGAAATAAGATAAAGCGGTTGTGTTTTTTATTTTTAAGTGTAAATTGTCTTGTTCTATTGGCAAAATGTCTTTAACTTTGCTGTTTTAATTTGATCTAACGTTTCTGGACTTTTCCTGGGAATCTGTTTATGAGGACAATTAATTCTAATTAAGAGAGAAAAATACAATTGATACTGGAGCCCCTGTAGTAAAATCTAGATATAAGCATAGATTCTAGTGATCCAGTCCGTCCCATAATAAGCGGATTTTACCTCCCATTATGTCTCTCCTTCCTGGATGGTGTTTGGATGCTCGAAATATGAATCTTTGTCTTTTCACAGACATTTTCAGAATATTTCAAGCATCAGGATCTTTATGCTACAATAGTTTGAGACTGAGACCATAAACCTCCATATCCGCTGACGATCTTACAGCAGAGAACGGCGTTGCTGAGCGTTACTTACGTTCATGGCTGCAATGTCGTTCTCGTAGGCCTCTCTGACCTTCTTCATGATCTCCACCTCGGCCTTGCAGCAAGCTTCGATGGAGCCTTTGACAGTGATGGTCCTCTCCGGGTTATACAGGGTCAGGTCCTGGAGGCTGCACACGTCACCACAACAAGCATCGTCATTCAGGTAATCTGAAGATGGCTTCAGCTTGGTGATAGGTTAGTCAGAGCGATGGAACTAGCTTTGGCTCAGCAAACGCACTGAGAACGCGTTGCTGAGGGGAAATCCCAATGAAATACTTTGTAAAATGTGGAGAATCTGATTCTCTGCTTCGGTCGGCTTATGAACACAACCGTCTCTATCTTGATGGGATTTTATGTCTCTGAAGTATTTATGGTTCTGCTGAAAGGCGCATCACTTTGATTTCTAAAAAGCTCCTAGCGCCAAATCTAGAGACTTTTTTCTGCTACTGGAGACTTTGGAGGCAACATCTAAAAGCAGCGAACTCTGCTCTCCAGAGCGAGTAGATTGGTAACCCCGCCTCCTGCTCTCCTCTATCTTGTCTGCTGTCATGATTCATGCAGCTATTATTTCACCCAAATGAAAAATGGAGAACAGATAAGCAGATCATGGCTTGTCTACAGTGAAAAGAAGGACTGGGTTATTTACTTTGGCCTTTTTGAAACACAGGAAGGAGCAATCAGCTAAGTGAGCTTAGTGCTTGGAAAAAATCTTTCATTCCTTTAGAGACAGCATGAAAAGTCAGCTGAGTACAAAACATAGAGAGGAAAACAAGAAGAAAAGGGACAAGAAGAGAGGGACACAACCTAGAACAGATAATGGATGTCTATTCTATTAACATTTATCTATCTGTAGAATGGGTCTGTTTTATGTGTTGTCTTCTCCATTCAGAGGGGCCCCCTGCCTGTCTATGCCCAGGAAATTGCTGCTGAATTGCTGCATCGTCCGACTAAAGCAGACCTGGGCTCTATCTCAGTCTGAGCTATGCTGCCCCCTGCAGGACTTTATTAGCGCTAAACGCCACAACTTCTGAGGCACGATTTTCTGTGACGCGTTGTGTTCAGAGCCACCTGCGGAAAAATGCATGTCACACTTTTCAGGTTTTTTTAGGAGTAAAATCAACCTCATCAAATAAATGCTTTGGTTTTAACGTGACTGAGGGGTGTGAATACTTTATGATGCTGCAGTGGTCGTGGTGCGCCGCTTACGGTGAGATGGTTATCTTAGTATCCGTGTCCTGCTCCACTTTTTTCAGGTTGCGTCCTTCCTTCCCGATAAGCCGGCCGACAAAGTTGTTGTGGGCGAGAACCTTCAGAGGGACCTCATCCGCCCTAAAACAAAGCTAGCTGTCATCAAACCCCGCCTCAGTCGGGCTCCATGTTCTGCTGCTTTAGCTCTGGCTCTCAAACCTACGTCTTGGTGTCTTTGGCCTCCTGGTGCATGATCTCCAGGATCATGCGGCAGGCGGCTGAGCAGCCTTCCGGCGTGGAGTGGATGCTGATGGGCTTCTCAGCGGCCCCGGCGTTCTCCTTACGGTGGACGTCAATCCTGCAGGGAAACAGATTGGCGTCAGGCTGCGGGTTGATGTCGCTAAGCCCGCTTTCAAAGCGTCATGGTCACCCACTTGCTCTGCGTCTGCTTGGTGATGTTGCGGATGGTGGCTCCCTCCTTGCCGATGATGGCTCCAACGTACTGGGTGGGCACCAGCAGCCTGAGGGGGATGTCGGCGTGCGGAGGTTTGGGTGGCATTCCCGAGTTCGGGGAGCCGCCGCGGAGTCCGCCGCGGGGCCCGTAGCCGGGGCGACGGCCGTTCTCGGTCCCCCGCTGTCCGTCCATGTCGGAGGTCTCGTCGGGGATGTAGGAGACGCGCAGGGCGTTGCTCTCCAGCTGATATCCGTTCAGCTTCTGGATGGCTCTGATGGCAGCAAACGGAACAACAGGAGGATGATTAAAGAGACGCAGCGCCACGTTCCGCGTACGGGGAGACATTACTGCCAGGATTACGCAGAACAAAGAAAGAGGAAAGTTTGGATTAAAAAATAAAGGGAGATTCATTGATATGAAAAAGTTCAACCACTATTTTATATTTGTTTAGATTTTTGTTCACCAGATTTTCAAATCTGCAGTTAGCTGAGAAATAAATATGTAAAAAACTTTTAAAGAAAAATAAGATCTGTTAAATAATCGGATATTTTATTGATGGGTTTTTTGTGCGGCTGCAGAAGCTGAGCTCTCAGTTGTTAATGATTTGTAGAACAAACTTCTCCTGTCAGAGTCTGGCCTTGAGGTCCCGGTCACACCTTGCTAATTTAGCAGCATCTGCCCGACGTCCCAGAATCTTCTAAAACGCTGACATACGCTGAACTTTCTATGTAGTCTTTCAATTTTGGGCCTAAACATACAGTACAGACCTTCTCATTTAAAGAGTTCTCTTTATTTTCATGACTATGAAAACTGAAGGCATCAAAACTGTGAATTAATACGTGTTGAATTATATACTTAACAAAAAAGTGTGAAACAACTGAAACTATGTCTTATATTCTAGGTTTTTCAAAGCAGCTCTGATCACTGCTTCGCTCACTCTTGGCGTTCTCTTGATGAGCTTCCGGAGGCCGTCACCTGAAATGGTTTTCCCTTCACAGGTGTTGTCTGTCAGGTTTAATAAGTGGGATTACTGGCCTTATAAATGGGGTCGGGAGCAGTGTAAATTTTGTCAACCAGGACGATGACGAAAATATTTCGTCATCGTCCCTTTTTCCCGTGACGATGACGAGATGATAACACAAAAAAAGTTTTTCCAGAAAATAAAAAATTATTTTCGTCAACGAGACTAAGACAAAATTTATGATCTATTGACGAATGGACATTAATATAAGTGTTTCTAGAGCTTCTTAGAAGATTACACGTTGTTGCACCGTTTGTCCCTAAACGACACCTGTCCCACAGCGCCTCGCAGTACTCAGTCAGTACCAGCAGAGGGCCTGTATCTGTCTGTCTATCTGTCATAGAAGAAAGATGTTCTACTGATACTCTGGATATTAATCATTTAAATTTCTTCCTCCCAACTAGATTCCTGACACAGTGACACCACAGTCAGATCAGAGGTTGGGGAAGGAAGGGATTCTGTTGCAGAGATGTTGGGAGCCCCCCCACCGTACAAACCTGACGCCAAAGAGCAGAAAGCCCTGGAGAACTCAATGGCAAAGTGGATTGAGCGTTCTGGCCTGCCTACAAGGACCATTGAGGATGAAGACTTTGTGGATATGATGAAACAAGCCGACAAAAGGTTCAATGTGTGCAGTGGATATATCTTAAAAAGAGAATCAGTGTGTGAAGTTCTATTCTGCTCAGTGTTATATAAATAAAATAGAGAAAAAGAGAAGCTGTGTGTGAAGAATTTTTATTCTGTACAGTGTGATATATATGTGTAAAAAGAAATAAAAAAAAGCAGTGTGTGGAGAAGTTTTATTATTTACAGTGTTGACTAAAATGACTAAAATCTGTCTAAGACTAAAATAGATTCTTGTCATTTAGACTAAGATCAAGACTAAATCGGGAAGGCAATGACTAAATATGACCAATACTAAGATTTATTTTTGTGACTAAGACTAAATTAAAAAACGCTGACAAAATTAACACTGGTAGGGAGCATCAGTTGTGTTTAGCAGAAGTCAGGTCGTTAAACAGCTCATAGTCCTGCTGAATAGACTGCTAGAATTTGGATTATGGCCAGAAAAAGAAAAACGAGCGGCCATCATTACTTAACTTTAGCCCTAGCAAGTCTCTTCTGCTTGTTGTCCAGAAAGGATAGATGACATGACATCATCCTATCAGAGCGAATCAGTGCAGACCTGTAGGCCCAGTTAGCTGGTCTGTTGAAGGCGTTTATGGATGATTGACACAGTTAACCTGTCAGGTAGAAACATTTTCCTTTTTGCTGCTTTTTCTATTAAAACTTTCAGCAAAACCACCAGTTTTCTATGTGCAGCCGACATTTAAAAGAAGTCCGCTCATATTCAGAATTCAAACTTCTGAAAGTACTTTAAATATGAAAATATTACATATTGTTCAATAAATCAGTGTTTTTAAATCAGAGTCATTTTCATGTGAATGTGCTTTACTGGAGGCATCCATGTTTGTCAAAGAACACTACTGCCACCTACTGGTTAGTGACGTCACGGTGCGGTATCGGCTGTTGATCAAGTCCCAGTGCTGTATCTGGTGTTTGTCACAACGCGCTATTATCCAAGTCATCTTGAAAACATTCTTCTTCCAAATGTTGGCTACATATTACGGGTTTTTTCTCTGGCCAGAAGTTCGATGGCAAATCCTCCCTCTTCAAGTTGACGATCCAACGACCAACCCGTCCGTGGAGGATCAGGAATCAGAAAGGTGGAATAACTCTTTTTTTCCACTTTTACCTGATTTTATCTCCATTAAATTAGAAAAACTAAAACCTTTCAAGTTTAATTATTTTAAGTTTGATTGTTTACTGTGTATCTAACTGGACTGTCTCTAATAATCTAATAATTCATTGATTATCCTTTCCGACTGGACTTTTCCTTTAAACAACCAATAAAATATTTTTTAAGCCCTATTTAATCTCAAAAAAAGGAAAAGGCCTAAATGGGCAGAAATCTGCCCAATCTGGAACCACGGCTCCTCCGCCTTAAGCTCTGATCACCTTCATCAAGGCAGCTCTGATTCCTCATTAAGCAGAAGGAATTAAAGCGCTTCCTGAAACGGCCACTAGATGGCAGTCACACACCGCAGGAGGCGCCCATGCAGAGCAGTTTTCATTGAGGCCTTTTTATCCCTCAGTAAACAGCAGCCTGGTGATTCCAGACTCATCCTGCTGTAGATCCAAACATGCTGTTGGGTTTACCTTCATCATCTTCATCATCATCACAGAAAGAACAGAGTGCGAGGATCAGAATAACTCACTGTCTGGCGTGCTCCCGGGAAGCGTATGTGACGTTAACCACCGCAGTCTCGCTCTCTGTATTCACTAAAACAAAAGCAACAAAGCGAGTTAGACAGAAGCTCCAGAGCTACCGGCTACATCCGGACGATCAAACGGAGGAATAACTAAAAACCAGGATTAAGGTTTTCTTTAATCCCAGCAGGTCAAACCAGACTCTGTTACTGCCTGGTTTTATCGGCCTGTTTCTCTACAGCTGCTGGACTTTAAAGAAACCTAAACAATCAAACTGATCAGAGTTGATCTATTAAACCAAATATAGATAAAAGCACGTCAGAAAATAGATCCGCCAGACACCAGGCCTTCATTTAAACCCACAGAAGAAACGACTCATCAGATTTTTTAAGAATTTTCCTAATTAGTGAGTCATCAGAAAAACAGCCACAGCTCTGAGAGACCTTCTAGATCTATAGTAGATAGAGTAGAACTAGAGATGTTAGATGCAGAAGAGAGACTGACCTTGTTCACAGTTTTCTACGGTCCCACACTGAGCCAGCAGTCCGTCCAGCACCTGGAAGCACACGGAGGCAGGAAGTGATCAGGTCAAACGTTTCAGCCTTTTCCTTCCGAACGTCACTGACTGATCATTTAAAAACGATTCATCAAGCAGCTCTATTACCAAACATCTATTTCCTGTCAGGATCCAACCTTTAGTTGTTTATTAAAGGTAAAAAAAACTGAATATACGGAACTGAAGCATCAACAGTTGGACTGGAAGTGAGAGAAACTTAAGGCTGAGCAACAACTTTGATGTTTTCCTGAAACAAATAAAAATCTAGAGTTATTCTCAGATCTGGAGCCATAATAGGATTCAAAATACTAGAACTTCATGCATCGGCCGAGTAGCGCAAATATTTTGCCATTGTTGTTTTGTTTTTTATTGCTAAACAAACAACCAATCAGTTTAGGGCTGCAATTAACGGTTATTCTGTAAATCGATTAATCTGTCGATCATTTTTTCGATTAAAATCTGACAGCAAACGATTCCTTAAAGATTTTTTACAGATTTAAACACGTGAAACTAAATAACTTCTACTTTAGGTGTTCTGGATAGAGCATACTGATGGATAAAAAATGTTTTTTGCATCTTAAATGCAAAATCTTTATATATTTTTGTAAAATTTTGGTATAATTCCTGCTGAAAGTTGGTCGCTCTGTCAGCTAAAGGCAAGTTTTACAGTCTCTCTACTCAAGTTAACGATTCATCAATTATTAAATTAGTTAAAGATTATTTCAATAATTGATTAATAACCATTAATCTTTTTGTTTTAGTCCTAAATCAGATAATATTTCAAGTTAACAAGTAAATTTCTCCAGTTAGTAAAGGCAACTGGAAAGAAAATCTAAGAAATGTGAAACAATTTATTTTTGTTTGTCTTTTCAGCAATAAGGAAAAGTCTAAACCTTGTTTTATTTTCCTTTTCTCATAACCGCCCACTTTAAGTCGGTTCTGTCAGAAAAAAAATAAATATAAAATTAAATAGATGTTTGTTTTCCTGTTTATAATTTTAAAAAATCGGAACACAAAAACATGACTAAAAAAAAAAAAGATTAAACTTTTTTATAGAAGGAGTTTAATTTTGCTCTCTTTTTTAAATTAAAATAAAAATCCTTACACTCATTTATTCGATTGTTTCTTTTATTTAGTCTTTTTTAAACACCATTTAAAGGCCGCAAATAATTCCTCCAAGGGCCATAAAATGGCCGCCAGGCCGCGCTTTGGCGTTAGAAGATGGTTTAATCTGGAATCGTCCAAAAAACCTGAAAATAGAAATAATGAATCTCTGAGAAGAAAAAGTGATTTTAGTGGAAGATGTGCCTCCAAGAAGGAACGGAATAATGTTTCTAATCTTCTAAATACTAAAGTCTGACCACAGAGAAATGATCCGAACTTTTTAATTACATTAAGAATAATTCACCATTATGTGATTTTTTTTTTCTGTTTTGTTTTTTGTGAAATTAAACAACATTTTTGCTAAACTTTAGGTTAAAGTTCAAAGGGATTATTTTTGCTGTTTGGTATTTTTAACAGTTCAACACATTTATTAATTAAACATGTTGAGATGAAGCGGTTTCCAAAGCAACGAAAATCAGGCTGAAAAAAGCAACACCATCATCATCATCTTCATCCTCCTCCTCTTCCTCACCGGTGGGAACTAACAGTTACATTTACTTAGTTACAGTTACTTCAAAAACTCTGACTAAACTCTACTTTAGGAGAAATTGTTATTCTGCCATAATTCCTAATAAACATGATTAGTTTTCATCGAAACTTTAATGAATAAAGTTTGTTTTGAATGAAGCTCCAGATAAAGACGCAGCGTTAATGTTTAGAGCAGATTTTGTAAATGGAAATTTGAAAATAGGTTTAGTTAAATTAAACTTTAAGAGAGAGAAAAAAAATGCAGTCTAGAAATGAAATTTTGAAAAAAATTTCAATGAAAAAAAAAAAAAGTTTTGAGAGTAACTGTGCTGTTTGATCAGATTTTATTTAAAAACACTTTTTATTCCTCAAATATTTTTGCATTTTTCATAAAAAAAAAATAATTGATTTTATACATTAACTTTATATAAATAGTGGGGTGTTTTTTTTGTTTGTTTTTTTTTTTTTTTACAGATTTTATATTTTTGAATTTTCCCACCTTGCGTTCTGGAAAAACAAGGTGAAAAATAAGGTTATTCATAAAACTTCATCTAAATAACCGAAATACAAACACACCCGTAAAAAAAGTATTAAAATCTTCTAAAACTTTTTTTTAAAGATTTTAAAATCTGAAAAAAAGGAGGAAAAAATAAAAGTTAAGTTACTCTCAAAACCTTTCCCAAAGTTATATTTGCAAATTTCTTTTTTTTTTTTTTTTTTTATGTTCTTTAATTTCAACAATAATGGAACAAAGTGTACTCCATACGGCATCATAAAACTTCCATGATATTTGGAGATCCAACTTTAATAAGAATTAAATATCAGAACTGGAGGAAATGGTTTTATAAAAGTTTTATGTTTAGAAGAAAAGTTTTTCTTCTGCCTTAAAAAAATGTTGTTGAATTAAATTATTTGTTTGCTTGTTTGAATCATTTTATAATAATCCTAAAAAAAATAACCTTTTTTTATTACCAACTCTTTATTACATCGCTTTTAAAGTCAGACGTTTCTTTTTTACCAAATAATGTTTTACTCCTAGTTAGGTATTATTTTTGGGACTCATCCCTTATCTGACCATACTGTAAAAAAGAAAATAGATAATAGCGAGAAAAATAGCTTTTAACTTAAGAATATATAGAAAAAAAGAAAGAAAAAAGCCGACATTGCTGATTAGTACAAAAAGATTTGCTGAGTCACAAACAGAAAGGTAAGTTTAGAGTTGTAAAAGAAAAGGATGCAGAACTTTCTATATGGGACATTTTCATCACTCGTACTTCAATAAGTAATATATTTTATTTATACCTTTAATATAGTTGATGAAAAACGGGAGAAAAAACAACCGTGTTCAGCTGAAGCTTTAAACTTTAAACTTCCTTAAATAAACTAACAGATCAATGATTTAACCGATTAGCCTGAGTAGCAGAGACAGCTAACTGATAAACAAAGGTTAAAGGTGACTGTGGCAGACATCTTAGCTCTGATTCACAGAATTCCCAAACATCCTGAAGCTACCAGAGGAACGGCGTAGAAAATAAACTCACCTCAGCTATCATATCCAACCTCACAATAACATTCATTCATTCGTTCATTCAGAAAATGAACAGAAGTTTCCTGGCCTCCAGAGGAGCATCTCTGCTGTTTAGATCAGCCGGTGTTCTGGCAGATGATTATACCCATTCTTAGTAGCAGTTATAGTACAAAAAGTTTAGTTTTGTACAAAAAATACACTAAACTACTTTGACAGGCAAGTATTCCTTTAGTCTAGTACAAAAAAAAACGATTTAATTACTTGCTTCTTGGTGTTTTTTGAGGCGTATGGAGATTTCACCTTAAATAGTTTTTCTTTGGTACATGACTATAGAGATATACGCCCGTTGACGTAGTTTAAAGTCTATTTTTCATATGAAACTAAAGGGATAAATGCAAATGTGACTCTGCTGACGGCGTATGCTGATCTGACAGAACAGCGGCTCTCTGAACATGACCAGAACGGAAACAGGACCTTACCTCCCACTGCAGGTGGGGGGGGATGTTCCTGATCTGCAGTTTTCTGGTCCTGTGGGGAAAAAAAAAAAAGGACAGAAATCAGAAACTTTATCGTCTACTAACTTGCTGACGGAGCGCTTATTTAAATGTAGGTTTTCAGCTTATCGCCGGCCCATTCTTACGCGGTTGCCATGGTTTCAGCCCATGTTGTAAGCCATGTGTCAGCAGGAGGTAATGGTAGGGGGTCAGAGGAGGTCTTTGATGGTGACTATGGTCTCTGAAGACATGATGGGGGCCCTGATAAGACCACCTTTACATGTATGTGGTTTAAACACGTAGAGCTTTGATGTAGAAGCTGCTCGTACCTTTGACTCCGTATTTTCTCACCCAGGTTTGGTGGCGAAGGCGCTGATTGAAGCTCCAGCTATGAATACTGAAGCCGCCTGGTATTTTAAAACCACAGAGAATTCCTCCATGGAAACGCCTCCTGAGAGTTTGGATGGCTTTCATTATGGGAGCAGTTTGTGGGGGCGGGGCATTAAAACCTATGGATGCCCGGCTGGGTGTAGACTGACTGTTAATGAAGGTTATAGGAGGTCAGGATGGAGCATGTGCTTGATTTAGATCTGTATAATCATAGTGCCATTTCACCAGGCTGTTTCCCTACAGCGCTTCACCAGACTGTTTCCCTACAGCGCTTCACCAGACTGTTTCCCTACAGCGCTTCACCAGACTGTTTCCCTACAGCGCTTCACCAGGCTGTTTCCCTACAGCGCTTCACCAGGCTGTTTCCCTACAGCGCTTCACCAGGCTGTTTCCCTACAGCGCTTCACCAGACTGTTTCCCTACAGCGCTTCACCAGGCTGTTTCCCTACAGCGCTTCACCAGGCTGTTTCCCTACAGCGCTTCACCAGGCTGTTTCCCTACAGCGCTTCACCAGGACATTTCACCACAGCGCTTCACCAGGCTGTTTATCTACGCTGTTTCACCAGGACATTTCACCATAGCACTTCACCAGCCTGTTTCCCTACAGCGCTTCACCAGGACATTTCACCACAGCGCTTCACCAGGCTGTTTCCCTACGCCGTTTCACCAGGACATTTCACCACAGCGCTTCACCAGGCTGTTTCCCTACGCCGTTTCACCAGGACATTTCACCATAGCGCTTCACCAGGCTGTTTCCCTACAGCGTATCACCAGGACATTTCATCACAGGGCTTCACCAGGCTGTTTCCCTACAGCGTTTCACCAGGACATTTCACCACAGCGCTTCACCAGGCTGTTTCCCTACGCCGTTTCACCAGGACATTTCACCATAGCACTTCACCAGCCTGTTTCCCTACGCCGTTTCACCAGGACATTTCACCATAGCGCTTCACCAGGCTGTTTCCCTACAGCGTTTCACCAGGACATTTCACCATAGCACTTCCCAAGCCTGTTTCCCTACGCCGTTTCACCAGGACATTTCACCATAGCACTTCACCAGGCTGTTTCCCTACAGCGCTTCACCAGGACATTTCACCACAGCGCTTGACCAGGCTGTTTCCCTACGCCGTTTCACCAGGACATTTCACCACAGCACTTCACCAGGCTGTTTATCTACGCTGTTTCACCAGGACATTTCACCACAGCGCTTCACCAGGCTGTTTATCTACGCTGTTTCACCAGGACAATTCACCATAGCGCTTCACCAGGCTGTTTCCCTACAGCGTATCACCAGGACATTTCATCACAGCGCTTCACCAGGCTGTTTCCCTACAGCGTTTCACCAGGACATTTCACCACAGCGCTTCACCAGGCTGTTTCCCTACAGCGTTTCACCAGGACATTTCATCCCAGTGATTCACCAGGCTGTTTCCCTACAGCGTTTCACCAGGACATTTCACCATAGCACTTCACAAGCCTGTTTCCCTACGCCGTTTCACCAGGACATTTCACCATAGCACTTCACCAGCCTGTTTCCCTACGCCGTTTCACCAGGACATTTCACCATAGCGCTTCACCAGGCTGTTTCCCTACAGCGTTTCACCAGGACATTTCACCACAGCGCTTTACCAGGCTGTTTCCCTACACCGTTTCACCAGGACATTTCACCATAGCGCTTCACCAGGCTGTTTCACCAGGACATTTCACCATAGTGCTTCACCAGGCTGTTTCACCAGGACATTTCACCATAGCGCTTCACTAGAACATTTCACCATAGCACTTCACCAGCCTGTTTCCCTACAGCGCTTCACCAGGACATTTCACCACAGCACTTCACCAGCCTGTTTCCCTACGCCGTTTCACCAGGACATTTCACCATAGCGCTTCACCAGGCTGTTTCCCTACAGCGTTTCACCAGGACATTTCACCACAGCGCTTCACCAGGCTGTTTCCCTACACCGTTTCACCAGGACATTTCACCACAGCGCTTCACCAGGCTGTTTCCCTACGCCGTTTCACCAGGACATTTCACCATAGCGCTTCACCAGCCTGTTTCCCTACGCCGTTTCACCAGGACATTTCACCATAGCGCTTCACCAGGCTGTTTCCCTACAGCGTTTCACCAGGACATTTCACCATAGCACTTCCCAAGCCTGTTTCCCTACGCCGTTTCACCAGGACATTTCACCATAGCACTTCACCAGGCTGTTTCCCTACAGCGCTTCACCAGGACATTTCACCACAGCGCTTGACCAGGCTGTTTCCCTACGCCGTTTCACCAGGACATTTCACCACAGCACTTCACCAGGCTGTTTATCTACGCTGTTTCACCAGGACATTTCACCACAGCGCTTCACCAGGCTGTTTATCTACGCTGTTTCACCAGGACAATTCACCATAGCGCTTCACCAGGCTGTTTCCCTACAGCGTTTCACCAGGACATTTCACCACAGCGCTTCACCAGGCTGTTTCCCTACAGCGTTTCACCAGGACATTTCACCACAGCGCTTCACCAGGCTGTTTCCCTACGCTGTTTCACCAGGACATTTCACCATAGCACTTCACCAGCCTGTTTCCCTACACCGTTTCACCAGGACATTTCACCATAGCGCTTCACCAGGCTATTTCCCTACAGCGTATCACCAGGACATTTCATCACAGCGCTTCACCAGGCTGTTTCCCTACAGCGTTTCACCAGGACATTTCACCACAGCGCTTCACCAGGCTGTTTCCCTACAGCGTTTCACCAGGACATTTCATCCCAGTGATTCACCAGGCTGTTTCCCTACAGCGTTTCACCAGGACATTTCACCATAGCGCTTCACCAGGCTGTTTCCCTACAGCGTTTCACCAGGACATTTCACCACAGCGCTTTACCAGGCTGTTTCCCTACACCGTTTCACCAGGACATTTCACCATAGCGCTTCACCAGGCTGTTTCACCAGGACATTTCACCATAGTGCTTCACCAGGCTGTTTCACCAGGACATTTCACCATAGCGCTTCACCAGGCTGTTTCCCTACATCGTTTCACCAGGACATTTCACCACAGCATTTCACCATACCGTCTCACCAGCCTATTTCACTAGGCCGTTTCCCCATAGCGTCCCACCAGCCTGTTTCACTCTGCCGTTTATCCATAGCGTCTAACCAGGCCGCTTCACCATCCCATTACGCTATGCCATTTCACCAAGCTGCTACCTTACGGTGTTTCACCAAGCTGTTTCACAGGTCCATTTCTCAACACTCCACCCAGAAATGTTGGTTTCGTGCTGAAAATATCCCTGATATAAACTGCAGACTCAGAGCCACGTTCTACAGATTGAGTGTGAGATCTGAAAAGGTGTTATCTAGACGACACACAGGCCAAGGCCTTGAAAACTGATCTTTAATGATCAAGCCAAGTCTCTTGTTAGATTAATAAATGGATCAGCACCATTTTCAGAAGGGTCAAGCCTGTGACTGTCCGTAAAACAGAGATGGTTTAAGATACAAGTCAGGGATGAGATACGGCCTCTGAATAACGTGTAAACGTTGTAGGATATCCAGACCGACTCAACTTTAAGAATAGAACAAGGTGGCTTCACAGACCGCTGAGGATGGATTGTCATTTCCAAAAATCCTGTTTCTATTAAAAATTTCATGTGAATTTTGAGCAAATTTTCAAAATTTATAATAAAAAAAAAAGGAAAAGTGAAATTAAATGTTTTCAGGAAGGAGAGGTAGCAAGCTAACGTGGACCACAGACAGATAATGGAGAAACATTTTTATCAAGTTGTGCAATCAGGGAAGTTTTATTTGCTTTAGCGATGGTGCTACGTCGACATCCAGAGACGTAGGGAGAGAAGTGTGACTGATGCTTACATTCAGGAACCAAGAGAGCAAACAGCTGATCAGTTAAATGTTCACTACATCAGAACATTTGACAAATGTTTCGATCTCCTCTTATCCACATTTAGGATTTTTTTAGCCAAAAAATACCTGAAACGAAGCAAAACTTTTTGAAATTTGTCAAGTTGATTCAGATTTTGCAGTTTCCATTAAGCTTGATGGAAACTCGTCTACTGACAGTTTAAGGTGTTACAAGGAGAGACGTTATGTGGAGGTTACCTCAAAACCCAACTCCGCATCTAAACTCTGCCTCTAAACAGAGACTTTATTTTAATTCTGTTTACACAGAGTATATGTACAAAATGATATTTAAACAGAGATTTTCTGAGAGTTGTGATGCCTTCCGGAGGATAGTGGCACCAAACGGAGCAACATCAACACCTGAGGGGCCACAAAGCCAGATATGTTATCAAATGGGATCACAGTGGCAGCAGCTGCAGGATAGTTACCCTATCCAGGATTCCCAAACCTTAACATCGAATTCAAGCACCAAGTGTATTAAATTCAAGGATCATTGTCCTACTGCTATGACTGAATGTGTGCTGGGTGGATGGATTTGAGACGATGGTGGAGTCAATGGAATAAAACTTAACTTAAAAGTGGTTACATCAGCATCAGTGAAATCAGCTGCATAGTCCTTGAAACAAATGTTAAATGGTTAATTTTTCTCAAAGCCTCATAACCTTAAATGCTCATTAGGACATATAGTGGTGAATAAATATGTTACAGGAAACAATGGTATGAGAAATGCTTA